GGCAGCTGTCCGCCCCGGTGCCCACTCCCGCCGGGGCCTGCCGCGCCCGGGGGCGGGGTCCTCTGCACCTCCCACCCGCCCTTGCAGCTGAGGCCGGTCTCTTCCAGCCCCGCCATTCTGGCCGCCAGAAAAACAAAATGCTTGGGGCGGTTGGGGCCGGATGCGGACCGCCTCGGTGGGACCGGAGCCGGTTCTGTTTGTCCAAGACCGGCGCTGCACACGGGTCTTCCTGGGCCAGGCCTGGTGGCGGGCCAAGGCCTGTAGTGCGGGAAGGAGGCGGTCCCCACCAGGCGGAGGTTCCAGAATCTCTGGAGACCCCCAAGCGCCCCCCAGGAAACATTCCGGGCCGAAGGCTTATGGTTACAGAAAGTCGAAAAGCGTGTCCGAGAGCCAAGGCCTAGACCCAGGCCCCCGACTTCAACAGGCGGAAAAGACAGGGCGGCCGCGGCTGGGCCACCTCCCCCTGCGAGGACGGTTCCTGCTCTCAAAACCGCACGAAGCCACCCAGCGCGCGCGGCGCTCCAGCCACGTCACCGCCGATGCAGTCAACAAACGCGGCCTGGCCTCTCGTGCAGAATGGCGGCCGTTCACGCGCACCGCGCGCTTCACATGCCCGAGGCCCGCACTGAGCTCCCGGCGTGTTTTGCCTCATTGAACCCCCGGGGCGACCCTGGAGGACGTGTTACTGTTGTCTCCTTTTTCCAGACCAGAGGGCCCCAAGGCCGCACGCCGACGAGGCCAGGATCCGAACCCGCAGCCGTGAACGCCAAAGTTGAGGGGCGACTCCGCCGCCGTGCCTTCCACATACCTGCTCCGGGCGGCCGCTGCAAGGGGGCCACGGGGGCAGATGCGACGGGGACCCTGCCTCGGGGGACTCACGGCCCAGCCGGGCGACCGGGCAGGCGCACACAGCTGCAGAACTAAGGGAGGTGGCAGGTGGCGCGCACGTCCTCGCGAACACGGGCGGCGCGTTCAGAGGCGGGAGGAGGGCCTCTTCCTCGGAGGAGACGTCCGAGCGAGCCCTGGAGAACGGCCCTCCG